GCTGAGTGGATAGCACTCTCGCCTCTCAGCAAGAAGGTCCTGGGTTCGAATCCCGGTTGGACCAGGGCCTTTCTGAGTGGAGTTTGCATGTTCTCCCCGTGTCTGCGTAGGTTTCCTCCGGGTGCTCCGGTTTCCCCTACCACTAAAAATATGTACAATAGGTCTGGCATGTGCCTCCTGTACTGGCCCCACTCCCAAAAATAACAATTGTAAACTGCTTTGAGATTCTGATGTGCAGTGAAAAGGCGGTATATAAATAAAGATTACTTACTTACTTACTAAGCTTGGAACTGAAACGTCTTTGCATCTCACTTAGTTTTAGGCACTTTACCCTCAAAGTGATTAGTGCCTTAAAGGGTTCCCCTCTGAGGGTCAGAACACAGACCTTCATTTGGATTAGGTTCGAGACTCGGGAATCAACTCCAGCTGCAGCGTTCAAAAGCCGTGCATACACTGTAAAAAAAGCACACAAAACAATCCAATGCAAAAGTTGATCCACGGTAAAATAATAAACCAAATTGTTTTCATTCAATGACTAATTTTTACTCAATATTATTATTTCTGTTTTGGAGTTGGAGCTTGTGAATAGTTTAAAGCAGATATTCAGTTTTCTGTAATATGACTAAGACACATTTTTTTTATCCTGATTCTTTGTTTCCTGCTGTGGCGAAGTGCTCTTAAAGGAACACACACATCATTGTGCATCACCCTCAGCTTTAGGCACATGTATATTTCATATATTATATATATATATATATATTATATATTATATATAGTCCCAGACCTGCTGCAGCTGTTCCCTCATCACCTCTTGACACCATGTGCCTGATAATGGCCTCAGTAAAGTCTGTGTGATTTGTAAATGTCAGGCGCCGTAGAAAGGCACCCTTTGCAGCTTTGTTCCGTCTCCACTTTGGGGAGTAGTGTGTGTTTCTTTTTTCTTGGACAGAGGGAGCTGCAGGACCACCACGACCCTGAAAGGTCACTTTTGATTGGATAACAGCAGAAAGCTTTTAACTGTTTTGTGTTGGGATGTCGGCCGACGGCCACAGAGCCTCTGAATGAGATTGGATTCTGCTAAACTCTAGTGAAGCAAATACAGCACAGTGTGTGTGTGTGTGTGTGTGTGTGTGTGTGCGCGCATCATATATGTGTGTGTGTGTGTGTGTGTGTGCGCGCGCATCATATATGTGTGTGTGTGTGTGCGCGCATCATATATGTGTGTGTGTGTGTGTGCGCGCATCATATATGTGTGTGTGTGTGTGTGTGCACGCGCATCATATATGTGTGTGTGTGTGTGTGCGCGCGCATCATATATGTGTGTGTGTGTGTGTGCACGCGCATCATATATGTGTGTGTGTGCGCGCGCGCATCATATATGTGTGTGTGTATCATTCAGAGTGTGCTGCTCAAAGGCCCATCCATATTTGTAACACAAGTATTTCAATAAATACTGAAGGAATTAACTGTCTCATCAGACAGAGTGTGAAAGTATGTGAGTGTGCGAGTGTGAGAGTGTGTGTGTGTGCGAGTATGTGAGTGTGCGAGTGTGAGAGTGTGTGTGTGTGCGAGTATGTGAGTGTGAGAGTATGTGAGTATGTGAGTGTGCGAGTGTGTGAGTGTGTGAGTGTGTGAGTATGTGTGTGTGTGAGTGTGAAAGTATGTGAGTGTGAGAGTGTGTGAGTATGTGAGTATGTGAGTGTGCGAGTGTGTGAGTGTGCGAGTGTGAGAGTGTGCGAGTATGTGAGTGTGAGAGTATGTGAGTGTGTGAGTGTGCGAGTATGTGAGTGTGTGAGTATGTGAGTGTGCGAGTGTGTGAGTGTGAAAGTATGTGAGTGTGAGAGTGTGTGAGTATGTGAGTATGTGAGTGTGCGAGTGTGTGAGTGTGCGAGTGTGAGAGTGTGTGAGTATGTGAGTGTGTGAGTGTGTGAGTGTGAAAGTATGTGTGTGTGCGAGTGTGTGTGTGTGCGAGTATGTGAGTGTGTGAGTTTGTGAGTGTGCGAGTGTGTGAGTGTAAGTATGTGAGTGTGCGAGTATGTGAGTGTGAGAGTATGTGAGTGTGCGAGTATGTGAGTGTGCGAGTGTGTGAGTGTGAGAGTATGTGAGTATGTGAGTGTGCGAGTATGTGAGTGTGAGAGTATGTGAGTGTGCGAGTATGTGAGTGTGCGAGTATGTGAGTGTGCGAGTGTGTGAGTGTGAGAGTATGTGAGTTTGTGAGTGTGTGAGTGTGAGAGTATGTGAATGTGCGAGTATGTGAGTGTGAGAGTATGTGAATGTGCGAGTATGTGAGTGTGAGAGTATGTGAGTGTGCGAGTATGTGAGTGTGAGAGTATGTGAGTGTGCGAGTATGTGAGTGTGAGAGTATGTGAGTTTGTGAGTGTGCGAGTGTGTGAGTGTGAGAGTATGTGAGTGTGTGAGTATGTGAGTGTGTGAGTGTGAGAGTATGTGAATGTGCGAGTATGTGAGTGTGAGAGTATGTGAGTGTGAGAGTATGTGAGTGTGAGAGTATGTGAATGTGCGAGTATGTGAGTGTGAGAGTATGTGAGTGTGCGAGTATGTGAGTGTGAGAGTATGTGAGTTTGTGAGTGTGCGAGTGTGTGAGTGTAAGTATGTGAGTGTGCGAGTATGTGAGTGTGAGAGTATGTGAGTGTGCGAGTATGTGAGTGTGTGAGTTCGTGAGTGTGCGAGTGTGTGAGTGTGAGAGTATGTGAGTGTGAGAGTATCTGAATGTGCGAGTATGTGAGTGTGAGAGTATGTGAATGTGCGAGTATGTGAGTGTGTGAGTATGTGAGTGTGCGAGTATGTGAGTGTGAGAGTATGTGAGTGAGTGTGTGAGTAGTATGTGAGTGTGAGAGTATTGTGTGAGAGTATGTGAGGGAGTGAGTGTGTGTGAGTGTGAGTTGTGAGTTGTGAGTATTGAATGTGCGAGTATGTGAGTGTGAGAGTATGTGAATGTGCGAGTATGTGAGTGTGAGAGTATGTGAGTGTGCGAGTATGTGAGTGTGAGAGTATGTGAGTGTGCGAGTATTTGAGTGTGAGAGTATGTGAGTTTGTGAGTGTGTGAGTGTGAGAGTATGTGAGTGTGTGAGTATGTGAGTGTGAGAGTATGTGAATGTGCGAGTATGTGAGTGTGAGAGTATGTGAGTGTGAGAGTATGTGAGTGTGAGAGTATGTGAATGTGCGAGTATGTGAGTGTGAGAGTATGTGAGTGTGCGAGTATGTGAGTGTGAGAGTATGTGAGTTTGTGAGTGTGCGAGTGTGTGAGTGTGAGAGTATGTGAGTGTGCGAGTATGTGAATGTGCGAGTATGTGAGTGTGAGAGTATGTGAGTATGTGAGTATGTGAGTGTGCGAGTGTGTGAGTATGTGAGTGTGCGAGTGTGTGAGTATGTGAGTGTGTGTGTGTGAGTGTGAGAGTATGTGAGTGTGAGAGTATGTGAGTGTGCGAGTATGTGAGTGTGAGAGTATGTGAGTGTGCGAGTATGTGAGTGTGAGAGTATGTGAGTGTGCGAGTATGTGAGTGTGTGAGTATGTGAGTGTGAGAGTATGTGAGTGTGCGAGTATGTGAGTGTGCGAGTATGTGAGTGTGTGAGTATGTGAGTGTGCGAGTATGTGAGTGTGTATGTGAGTGTGCGAGTATGTGAGTGTGAGAGTATGTGAGTGTGCGAGTATGTGAGTGTGAGAGTATGTGAGTGTGCGAGTATGTGAGAGTATGTGAGTGTGAGAGTATGTGAGTGTGTGTGTGTGTGAGTATGTGAGTGTGTGAGTGTGTGAGTATGTGAGTGTGTGTGTGTGCGAGTATGTGAGTGTGTGAGTATGTGAGTGTGTGAGTATGTGAGTGTGCGAGTATGTGAGTGTGCGAGTGTGTGAGTGTGGGAGTATGTGAGTGTGTGAGTATGTGAGTGTGTGAGTATGTGAGTATGTGAGTGTGCGAGTATGTGAGTGTGTGAACTTTGTGTACTTTATAGATAATGTTGTAAACCTTTAGCAGGAACACGTCTGACCCCTGCAGAAGAGGAAGATGTATTTGTAAATGTTACACAAGAGCATCTATAGTGCACACATATATAGTGCACACATCTATAGTGCACACATCTATAGTGCACATATCTATAGTGCACATCTATAGTGCACACATCTATAGTGCACACATCTATAGTGCACACATCTATAGTGCACACATCTATAGTGCACATCTATAGTGCACACGTCTATAGTGCACACGTCTATAGTGCACAAGTCTATAGTGCACACATGTATAGTGCACACATGTATAGTGCACACATCTATAGTGCAGACCTCTGAAGCTATGCAGGACAGGGCCTGGTTAGTGCGGTGATGGGAGACCTCTGAACAGCAGGTGCCACAGTGGGGCGGCTGCGGCTGTAAAGTGCCAAACTGTGGTTGTGTCCTTAGGCAAGACACTTCCCCCACATTAGAATGAGTCGGTTGGTGATGGGCGGAGCTATGAGTTTATGCCTTAATAAATGCTCTTGCATTCTGTAAACTCGGTCTTGATGGTTACTTAAATAAATAACTGTGTTTGTATCAAACCAACTAGATCTTAGAGAGTGTCTTTGTAATGTCGTCTGTTTGAAAGATCTGAGGCTGTAGCGGCTGAAGATGAATCTGTTGTTGATTACTTTTTAATGCTTTTAACTGTTTTATTGTTTGATTGCATGAATGTTTTAATGGATTTGAAGGGATCTTATTTGAAAGTACTTTGGCCGTTATGAGTGTTGTGAATTAATTATTTATAAAAGTTTATATATATATATGAGCGAGAGAGAGAGAGAGGGTAAAATAGTTCCAGGTCTGTCAGACTCCAGATTTGTCGCTTCTGTTTTTCCAAATGAAGACATTACTCTGTACAAGTGGTTCCATTTATTTCCATTCTTATAAATTGCCCAAGTGAGCAACATTTCAGCCCTGTTGGCTCTTTTCTAAGCAGGGCTGTTTGTTTTGCTTTCAAGGACAGCCCTGTGTGTGTTCCTGCTTCATAATGAATGACTCTACACAGAACAGACCAGAGGGGACCTCTTCACTGTGAGTGTTAGACACTTCAGCTGTGTCCCTGTGCTGTGTCCCTGTGCTCTGCCATTCCCCTGACCTGTGAACATCTTATTTTTTCCGGCATCTTCCCTTCCTTCCCCGTACACACACCTTTGAGTCGTAGTAATTGATACTCGCCACACACACATTACCACAAACACATACACACATTACCACACACACACACACACATTAGTGCGTACACACACATCACACTCAGCTGTCTCTCGGGGGGAGGTTGAGCCCCAGACAGATTAGGCTTCAATCTAAAATCTCCTCAGGCCTGTCCCCAGATTGTGGCTAAAGCTACGCACACACACACACACGCACGCGTACACAAACACACACACACACACACACAAACACATACACACATAAACACACACATACAACTCTGGAACACACACACAAGGCATATTTTGTTGTGTTGTGTTATACCTATAAAACAATCCATCATAATGTATAAAAAAAGTAGATATTTGTTATATTCTTTCATAAATGATCCTTTGGGACGTGTTCATTAAACATCTAGAACTTATAATGAAATGTTGTGTATCTGTGTCTCTAACCCCAACCTCTGGATTAACTTGAATCGTGTATTTCACTTTTCCACATCAAAATTAATTTTAAATATATATTTTTGGAAGGTTACATTTATTCAGAATCAATATGTTCATGAAGTAGCTTTCGTACTCACTTCTACTGCTCTGTAACCATTTGTATAAATGTGACTGAAATAAAGCTCAGACCTGTGTTTTGTCTTCCAGGTCCGACTATCAGGAGCTCCTCCGTAACTCCAGTTTCTGCCTCGTTCCTCGAGGTCGACGTCTGGGATCTTTCAGATTCCTGGAGGCTCTTCAGGTAAAACCTTTCATCAATTCTTATTTCTTTCATTTCACTCCAATTCATTTTACAAAATTAATTCACAAACATTAACAAACAAACCTCTATTACTTTAAAAGACCAGTGTCTCCACATCTTGGACCCACATCGCTGGTACTTCTTATAATGACCTGTGTTTTACCCATGATCCTTTTTTCCGGTCCACAGCCTGGACCTAAGTCTGTGCTCCATATGGAACAATGTGTTTGGACTGTTGGATTCTCTGATCCTTGTTAAGTCCTCTGGGAGAACTACTGTTGTGATTTAGAGCTAAATGAAGAATAATAATAATAATTAAAGCTGCAAGCGGCGTCAAACGGCCCTCGCCACACCGTGCAAAGGAGGTGGCGCTGACGCACCATTTTCCTGCCGCCCTGATGGGAGCGACACTGTGCATTTTGAATTCCTATGATCAGTGATTGTGTGTGTCTATTGAAAAGGTAAACCTCATTCTCCCCATGTAACACTGGACTCAGTCTGTAGGGGGCGCTATTGCAGCAATTTCATTTTTTACACTTTCAGTTGACCTAAACCCAAGAGTTGAACATCCATCCATCCATCCATTTTCTACCCTTTAATCCATTTCTGGGTCAGGGGGGTGGCAGTCAGAGATGCCACCCAAGTCTCATAGCACCAGCCCCTCACTGACCCTCTGCAGGTGGTGAGTCCACAGGAGGCTGCTCTCTGACGGTGAGCATAGCCTGGATCTTTCAGTGGGGGCTTAAGAGTTGAACAATCAAATCAAATTTTGGGCAAATCGGACTTTGTATGTGCAAATGTCACACATGTGATAAATGTCACACATGTTGATATATGTCATACATGTTGATAAATGTCACACATGTTGATAAATGTCATACATTAAATGTCATACATGTTGATAAATGTCACACATGTTGATAAATGTCATACATTAAATGTCATACATGTTGATAAATGTCACACATGTTGATAAATGTCATACATGTGATAAATGTCACACATGTGATAAATGTCACACATGTTGATAAATGTCACACATGTTGATAAATGTCATACATTAAATGTCATACATGTTGATAAATGTCACACATGTTGATAAATGTCATACATTAAATGTCATACATGTTGATAAATGTCACACATGTTGATAAATGTCATACATGTGATAAATGTCACACATGTTGATAAATGTCATACATGTTGATAAATGTCACACATGTGATAAATGTCATACATGTGATAAATGTCATACATGTTGATAAATGTCATACATGTGATAAATGTCACACATGTTGATAAATGTCACACATGTGATAAATGTCATACATGTGATAAATGTCACACATGTTGATAAATGTCACACATGTGATAAATGTCATACATGTGATAAATGTCATACATGTTGATAAATGTCATACATGTGATAAATGTCACACATGTTGATAAATGTCACACATGTTGATAAATGTCACACATGTTGATAAATGTCACACATGTGATAAATGTCATACATGTTGATAAATGTCACACATGTTGATAAATGTCACACATGTTGATAAATGTCATACATGTGATAAATGTCACACATGTGATAAATGTCACACATGTGATAAATGTCACACATGTTGATAAATGTCATACATTAAATGTCACACATGTTGATAAATGTCACACATGTTGATAAATGTCATACATTAAATGTCACACATGTTGATAAATGTCACACATGTTGATAAATGTCACACATGTTGATAAATGTCATACATTAAATGTCACACATGTTGATAAATGTCATACATTAAATGTCACACATGTTGATAAATGTCACACATGTTGATAAATGTCATACATGTGATAAATGTCATACATGTGATAAATGTCATACATGTTGATAAATGTCATACATGTGATAAATGTCATACATGTTGATAAATGTCACACATGTTGATAAATGTCACACATGTTGATAAATGACATACATGTGATAAATGACATACATGTGATAAATGTCATACATGTGATAAATGTCATACATGTTGATAAATGTCATACATGTGATAAATGTCATACATGTTGATAAATGACATACATGTGATAAATGTCACACATGTTGATAAATGACATACATGTGATAAATGTCATACATGTGATAAATGTCATACATGTTGATAAATGTCATACATGTGATAAATGTCATACATGTTGATAAATGTCACACATGTGATAAATGTCACACATGTGATAAATGTCACACATGTGATAAATGTCACACATGTGATAAATGTCACACATGTTGATAAATGTCACACATGTTGATAAATGTCACACATGTGATAAATGTCACACATGTGATAAATGTCACACATGTGATAAATGTCACACATGTGATAAATGTCACACATGTTGATAAATGTCACACATGTGATAAATGTCACACATGTTGATAAATGTCACACATGTTGATAAATGTCATACATTAAATGTCACACATGTTGATAAATGTCATACATGTTGATAAATGTCACACATGTTGATAAATGTCACACATGTTGATAAATGTCATACATTAAATGTCACACATGTGATAAATGTCATACATGTGATAAATGTCACACATGTTGATAAATGTCATACATGTTGATAAATGTCACACATGTGATAAATGTCATACATGTGATAAATGTCACACATGTGATAAATGTCACACATGTTGATAAATGTCATACATGTGATATATGTCATACATGTGATAAATGTCATACATGTGATAAATGTCACACATGTGATAAATGTCACACATGTTGATAAATGTCACACATGTTGATAAATGTCATACATGTAATAAATGTCACACATGTTGATAAATGTCACACATGTTGATAAATGTCATACATGTGATAAATGTCATACATGTGATAAATGTCACACATGTGAAAAATGTCATACATTAAATGTCACACATGTGATAAATGTCACACATGTTGATAAATGTCACACATGTTGATAAATGTCATACATGTGATAAATGTCACACATGTTGATAAATGTCATACATGTGATAAATGTCACACATGTGATAAATGTCATACATGTTGATAAATGTCACACATGTGATAAATGTCACACATGTTGATAAATGTCACACATGTGATAAATGTCACACATGTGATAAATGTCACACATGTGATAAATGTCACACATGTGATAAATGTCACACATGTGATAAATGTCACACATGTTGATAAATGTCACACATGTTGATAAATGTCACACATGTTGATAAATGTCACACATGTTGATAAATGTCACACATGTGATAAATGTCACACATGTTGATAAATGTCATACATGTGATAAATGTCATACATGTTGATAAATGTCACACATGTTGATAAATGTCATACAAATAGATAAATGTCACACATGTGATAAATGTCATACATGTGATAAATGTCACACATGTGATAAATGTCACACATGTTGATAAATGTCACACATGTTGATAAATGTCATACATGTGATAAATGTCATACATTAAATGTCACACATGTTGATAAATGTCACACATGTGATAAATTTCACACATGTTGATAAATGTCATACATGTGATAAATGTCACACATGTTGATAAATGTCACACATGTTGATAAATGTCACACATGTTGATAAATGTCATACATGTTGATAAATGTCATACATGTGATAAATGTCACACATGTGATAAATGTCACACATGTTGATAAATGTCATACATGTGATAAATGTCACACATGTTGATAAATGTCACACATGTGATAAATGTCACACATGTTGATAAATGTCACACATGTTGATAAATGTCACACATGTGATAAATGTCACACATGTGATAAATGTCACACATGTGATAAATGTCACACATGTGATAAATGTCACACATGTTGATAAATGTCACACATGTGATAAATGTCACACATGTTGATAAATGTCACACATGTTGATAAATGTCATACATTAAATGTCACACATGTTGATAAATGTCATACATGTTGATAAATGTCACACATGTTGATAAATGTCACACATGTTGATAAATGTCATACATTAAATGTCACACATGTGATAAATGTCATACATGTGATAAATGTCACACATGTTGATAAATGTCACACATGTGATAAATGTCATACATGTTGATAAATGTCACACATGTGATAAATGTCATACATGTGATAAATGTCACACATGTTGATAAATGTCACACATGTTGATAAATGTCATACATGTGATATATGTCATACATGTGATAAATGTCATACATGTGATAAATGTCACACATGTGATAAATGTCACACATGTTGATAAATGTCACACATGTTGATAAATGTCATACATGTAATAAATGTCACACATGTTGATAAATGTCACACATGTTGATAAATGTCATACATGTGATAAATGTCATACATGTGATAAATGTCACACATGTGAAAAATGTCATACATTAAATGTCACACATGTGATAAATGTCACACATGTTGATAAATGTCACACATGTTGATAAATGTCATACATGTGATAAATGTCACACATGTTGATAAATGTCATACATGTGATAAATGTCACACATGTGATAAATGTCATACATGTTGATAAATGTCACACATGTGATAAATGTCACACATGTTGATAAATGTCACACATGTGATAAATGTCACACATGTGATAAATGTCACACATGTTGATAAATGTCACACATGTGATAAATGTCACACATGTTGATAAATGTCATACATGTGATAAATGTCACACATGTTGATAAATGTCACACATGTTGATAAATGTCACACATGTGATAAATGTCACACATGTTGATAAATGTCATACATGTGATAAATGTCATACATGTTGATAAATGTCACACATGTTGATAAATGTCATACAAATAGATAAATGTCACACATGTGATAAATGTCATACATGTGATAAATGTCACACATGTGATAAATGTCACACAT